CTGTAAAGGTTGTTATGATATATGTAAAAAGGTCTTATATAAGGTACTTTTTGGAAAGTGAAAAGTGTATATCCCTCAAAAAACACCTAACCCATAAAACAAACAGGGTTACCCAATAATCTATGAAAGAAAAACTATCATTTTAAAAGTTATTCAATCCTAAAGAAGGCAGGAAAATAAGAGAAAAGCCAAGAATAAATAAGGCAAGTTAAAAGTGCACAGAAAAAGCAGACACAGCCTGGTGTGGTGGTATACACCTGTAATTTCAGCAGTTTAGGAGACTGAGGCAGGAGGATTACAAATTCAAAGCCAGCCTTAACAATTTAGTGAGGCCCTAAACAACTTAGTGAGATCCTATCTCAAAATTAAAAAAAATAAAAATAAAAAGGGAGAAGGATCTGGCTCAGTGGCTCAGTGCTCTGGGTTTAATCCCCAGTGTGGGGATGGGAGGAAGGGGCACATAATCTAATCATATCAATACTACATAAAATAAAAATGATTTAAATACTATAATTAAAAGTCCAAAGTATTAATACTGAACAAACAACAAATATTTAAATATGCAATATCTAAATGAAACACTGAAATATTAGAGATAACATAAACAATTTTTGTAGAAAAATATACATAACACACTATGCAAATACCATGTATAAAAAAGATAGAATGGCTATATAAATATCAGAAAAAAGAACATTTCACAAGAAGGAGTATTATCAGGGCTGAAAAAGGACATTTTATCATAAGGGTACAATCTTTTCAAAAGGACATAAGAATCCTAAATATGCATAACTCTATGATACTGTTCTAAAATACATGATCAAAACTTGAGAGAAATAAAAGAACCAACAGCTAAATCAGAAAAATTGTTAAACATTGTTGGTAATTGAGACAACATTTAGAAATCAAAATCATTAAGGATAATATACCTCAATAAAATATTTCTTTCAACAATTCTAGAGTACATATTATTTTAATGGATATTAGAATAATTAGGAAAACTTAAAAAAATCAAATTAAGCAAATTTTATTTCATGCAAGCTGCTGAATTTATTGATAAAATTGTATATATTATTACAATATTATTACTTTAGTGTTTTTATGATATATAGTGATGTCCCCTCTTTCATTTGTGATATTGATTATTTCTACTTTATTCCTTTTTTAACTCATCTTTCTAGAATTTGTCTTCTTTATTGATCTTTACAAAGAACCATTGATTGATTTTCTCTAAATTATTCCTGTTTTCTATTTCACTGATGGTACAAACTCAGGAATTATAAGAAAGGAATACTTTTCAACCTATTTCATAAAAGCTAGCAGTAGCCCAATACCAACACCAGACAACACTATTAAAAAAACTCTTTGGATATGCTTATGAACTTAGATGTAAAAGTTATTGACAAAAAGAAAATGAGTAAAAGTTACACAGACTGTAAAGGAAAAAGTAAAATTTTACCTGCAGAAGACATGATTAGCTACCTAGAAAACCTCAATAAATCTAGCAAAAAAGCACCTAGAATTATACTCTAGAAAGATTACAGAACAGAAGTGTAATGTATCAAAATGATGATTTTCTATTCTAGCAACAAGTAATTAGAGAGTGAAATGGAACAAAGAATAGTACTTACCTTTGCATAGAATATGAAATAATAATAAATTTAACAATATATCTGCAAGGTTTGCATGCCCCCAAACTATAAATCATTGCTGAGGAAAATCGTAAAGACCTAAATAAATGCAAAGTTATGCCATGTTCATACACGGGAAGATCCTATATTCTTAAGAAGTCAATTTTTTTTTCCAAATTGATCTACACATTCAATGTAACATGAATGAAATTCTAGAAGGCTTTTTGGTCAAGAAATTGGGAAGCTGAATTGAAAATTTATTTGGAAATGTACCTAAACATATTGGAAATGAAGAACAAAGTTGAAGAGTACACAATTCTGGTTTCATTCCTTGCTGGAAAGCTACAGTAATCCAGATGTAAGGATAGACATACAGACAGTGAAATCAACCAGTCCAGAAAGGCATGAACATATGTACAGTCAATTGATTAGAAAAAGAGACAAAGGTAATTCAATGAAAAAAAGGATAGTCTTTTCAATATATGGTATTGAAAAAATTGGGTAGCCACTAAAAAAGTGAGCTTTGACCATTATTTTATACCATATAAAAGTTACTATGCAAAATGAACCTAAATTTAGGAGGTAAAAATTTAAAATTAAGAAAACACAGGACAGAAGTCTTTGGATTTTAACTTGGGAAAAGAGATATTTCTTAAAATATAAAAAGCATGAACCATAAAAGAAAAAGGTAATAAACCAGCATTTATAAAAATGAAATGAAGATTTTTATTGAAAAGAAAGGTATATTTTAGGAAAAATACAGTTATAAACCATATATGTTTTTTATCCATTCCTCTATTGAAGGGCATCTAGGTTGGTTGCACAGTTTAGCTATTGTGATGTGCTGCTATAAACATTGATGTGGCTGTGTCCCTATAGTATGCTGTTTTTAGATTCTTTAGGTATAGACTGAGAAGAGGGACAGTTGGGTCAAATGATGACTCCATTCCCAATTTTCCAAGAAATATCCATTCTGCTTTCCATATTGGCTGCACCAATTTGCAGTCCCACCAGCAGTGTATGAGTGTACCTCTTTCCACACATCCTCGCCAACACTTATTGTGCTGCCATTTTGACTGGAGTGAGATGAAATCTTAGAGTGGTTTTGACTTGCATTTCTCTAATTGCTAGTGATGATGAATATTTTTTTCATATATTTGCTGACTGATTGTATATCATCTTCTGAGAAGTGTCTGTTCAGCTCCTTGGCCCATTTATTGATTGGGTTATTTGTTTTTTTGGTTCTTAGCTTTTTGAGTTCTTTATACCCTAGAGATTAGTGCTCTATCTGATATATGCAGAGTAAAAATTTTCTCCCAAGACGTAGGCTCTCTCTTCACCTCACACATTGTTTCTTTTGCTGAGAAGAAACTTTTTAGTTTGAGTCAATCCCATTTATTGATTCTTGATTTTAATTCTTCTGCCAAAGGAGTCTTATTAAGAAAGTTGGGGCCTAATCCCACATATACTATGGAATATTACTCAGCAATAAGAGAGAATAAAATCATGGCATTTGCAGGTAAATGGATGGAGTTAGAGAAGATAATGCTAAGTGAAGTTAGCCAATCCCAAAAAATCAAATGCCAAATGTTTTCTTTGATATAAGGTGGCTGATTCATACTGGGATAGGGAGAGGGAGCATGGGAGGAATAGATGAACTCAGGATAGGGCAGAGGGATTGGAGAGTAAGGGAGAGGGCATGGGGATATAAATGATGGTGGAATGTGATGATCATTATTATCCAAAGTACATGAATTGGTTTGAATAACTTTGTATACAACTAGAGATATGAAAAATTGTGTTCTATATGTGTAATAAGAATTGTAATGCATTCCGCTGTCATATATAAATAAAAAGAACATATATGTTAAAGAATTTATATCCTAAATATGTGAAGAATTCTTAAAGCTCATTATTTAAAATACACAAAATAAAAATGGGGAAAACATTTGTAAAAACTTCACAGAAGGAAATATATGAATGGCAAATAAATAAACAAAACAACTCTTAATGTCTTTGGACATTAAATAATGCAAAACATTCCCAAAAGACTGCTTATAGTTAAAAATGATCAGAGTTTCAAATGTTAGCAAAAATGTGAAGCTTTCATATGAAGAGAAATGTAAACAAATGTCTAGAAATATGCTTTTGACTTGTGCACTAATGTTCCCAGAAAAATTATTCCTAATAGCTCCAAACTGGAAGTGAGTCGAATGCCTAGCAAATGGGAAATAAATAAACAAGTCATAACATACTACACTATGGGAATATTGTAAAGCATTTGAAAAGAATAAACTACTGGTAGATTCAACACTACGGATGGACTGCAAAAGCATCACACTAAACAAAGAAAGACAAACCAAGCCCTGCTTCACCAAAGCAATAGCAAAACAAAAGAATGATCTAGAGTATGATTCCATATGTATGAAACTGTGTAGAAATGTAAAAAGACAGTGCTAGAAGCAAAATTGCAAAGGGACAGAAGGCATGGTTACATGACTGTAACTACTGGTCAAAGCTCATGACTTTAAATGCGTGAGTTATATTTTAATTAATATAACATGTTAATAAGAACCTCAAACTCATCATCTCCCTAAACTTGCTCCTCCCGCTATGATCCCTTTAGTAGTAAATGGTACCTAGTATCCTCTATTTTGTTCTGAAGCAAGACATGGGAATCATTCTTAAGCCTTATCTTTCTTTTCTGTCAAATCACTCAGTTCATATCAGCTTAAGATATGTCACACCTGAATCCTCATGGAAGCTTGTTAACTGGATCCAGGCTTTTGGCATCTTCTATTAAAATTTTTCAACAGTCTTCTAAATTCTTACCTTCTCCCCTCATGCTAGATAGATTTCTCTGAACAGGAGCCTGGTCATGGCATTTTCTATCATCAACCCACAGAAAGAAAATTAAAAAAATAATGAAGATTTTTTTCCAATCTGAAGACTGTTAATATGACTTTCAGAATCCTTTCCACTGCTTCTTGACAGATAAATCTTGTCAATTTGGGGGCAATCCCTGTAGATTTTTGGAAAATTCTCTTCACTAATTTTTAATTTCCTTATACCTTGCAGATATATTTCAGCTTCTAGCAAAAAAGTTATTGCTATTTCTTAGTTTTATTATAATTTTTTTTTGTCCTTCTCCTCCCCCTATTTCTGTAGATACCATGGAAGCAGCTGTAGAAATGTGTACTTACTTCATAATCTCTCCTACAAATAAAACTGAAGATACTGACCCATATTTGCAATACACTCTCTGATAATTCTGTATTGTTTTATAATAGCATATTGGATTTTCAAGTGTCCAATTATAAAACCAAAATCTCTACAAAAATTATCTGATGAAAAAATTGATCCACTCACCTGACAACCAGTGACAATACTGTGGCCCCACGTATTTGGTGCACATTTAGAACATTTTTCTCCAATGGTGTTTGGAGGGCAAATGCATTGACCAGTTTTTGGGTCACAGTTATTACCCAGGTGGGAACAATCACAAGCTTCATAGGAGAAAAGAGGGGAAATAGAGAAGAATTTTAGAAAAAGGGAAAAAAATTTGATATAAAATATTTAGTTTTTTGTTGGATTGATTTGTTCCATTTTCCATTTTTTGGTACTGTTTAAGGTTCCTTGGAAATAAAAACTTACCTCATTCATCTTTTATATCATAGTATAGTGTATTTCACAGAGGAGTTGTTCAATCAATATATGTTGTATTTCATTTAATAATTTCAAAAGTTAAAGCATTTTTATATTTCCTGTTCAGTTTGATAAAAGGAAGAACTGGTGTTACAGATTCCCTATTAAACTAGAATGCCTTATATCCAGTAGCATAAAGTTGAAAATTTTGTTTGTATATTTATTTATTTTAGGTTTATTAATATTTGTTACTATGCTGGAAAGATTTATTTTTCCTTTTTGATGATGAATCTGATTTATAATAAAAATCAGGATTATAAATCCAGCACATCATGTATAAAATTGGAAAATATTAGAATATTTCAGTTTTGCAAATATTTAAAGACAGTTAAATTATGAACACTGTCTAGATATAAAGATACTTTTAACTTTTATTTGCCACCATCCTTATGTCTTTTCAATAGATTTCATTTTCTTGACTATGAATGATACTTGAAGAGTGTAAACCAGTTGCCTCTTCTGAAAAAATTCAAATAAACAAATTGAGACCATCTTCAAAGCCATGTGAAACAAAGAAGGTATGTCACCACTTATCTATAGTTGGCCCAGCTGCTAAAAATATATTTTAGTGTAGCACTTCATTTCAAAGAAATGAGAGAAAAAACACAAAATCCTTGAATTCAAATAGGAGAGTGATGCTTTGAAAAAACTTTGAGTTGCTTCCATGATGATTAAATCATTTAACTGAATGCATTTAGGTTATCTTATTAGGTTCAATGTCATTGTACATAGCATTTCATAGCAGCTGTGAAAAATATTTACCATGATACTTGACATTAAACAATAAATATCAGTAATTACTATTTTTATTATTATTATTATTGTGACTAATTTTAAATCACATGATTTACTTTATATGTGCCATCCACTAAGAAGAAAAAACATCATTCTGTTCCCATTTATGTGCTAAATACATCTTGGGACAGTTTAAATTTCTACTTGCAAACAGAAATTCTCTAAGTAGATCTTCAATGGAATCATAACACTGAACAGGAAGCAGATCTAGGTGATTAGTTAATTTTCTTCTCCTAAAGCATTATATTTACCCTAATTAATAATACTGACAAAGATCAAAGATCATAATAATGATAAACACATAATACTTATATGTCAGTCATTACTCTAAATATTTTATAACCATTAACTCAACTAATTCTCACCAAAACCCTAGGATGCACATACTATTATAATCTTAGTATAACAGATGAATTTTACAGAGGGAAAGCAAGGCTAAATCATACAGTCAAGGTCACAAAACTAGTTACTGATGGATCCATGAGATAAATCCAGGCTGTTCAGTGCAAGTCATGCTCTCAATCATAATGTTATCCTGCCTGTTTGGTGCATTATTTTTTCTATTCTATGTCTCTGGCTTAAAATGCTACTAGGTTTGCATTCCTGAAATGCTATCACCATTTTGTAATATTAGAAAATATTCTTGGTTTCACTTATACCTTCTCTTACTAGATGTATTTGAATGTACAGTATTAGCATGTTAATTTCCATTAAGTAAAAATGTTAGAGTAAATTGGATTCAAATAATAGATTATATTTTAAAATGTGGCCTTATAATTTTTAGTATATGCCAATATTGGCCTACAGATAGATATGCACTCATAGATCTTCAATGATCACATTTCAAATAATTTATAATAAGCTTGGCTTATGATAAAAATCATGTATCTCAAGTGCCAAAGAATGTCTGAAAGATTTGGTTCTTTAAATAATTTTAAATATTATTCTCGCTGATTCTCACATAAATCCGTGACAAGAGTCAACAATGTTTTCAAGTCTTACCACAGTGCTGAGAGTACAGTATGATAGTATCAATCCATGTTCAATCAATGAACTTCATAATTTAGTAAGATTCCACCTCATGACTGTTGAAATAGGGTCTATTCTAAATTAGTGGCACATGCATAGGAGTGAATATTCAATCTTTTCTTTCATCTGTAGTGTGCTAATTGATGTTTTCTTAGTTCATGATTTGTGTGAAGGCTGTGATTGGATATAGGAAAACTCTAAGGAATCATGGTTAGAAACTTGACTGCTTTTCCCCACAAACTAAACATTTAGAGTTATCCTGTTTCTTTCCCAGAACATCACAGTTTTCAAGACAGCTAAAAGTAGATAAAAATGTATTTTTTGTACGAGAAAAAAAATTACCTTCCTTGATCCTTGTATCAAGCTTGCATTACGAGAAGGGAAAGCTGGAAAACTTAAACATTTGACTTAAACAGCAGTGGTCATCAAGTAATGGTCAAACTGGGGTCACAGATAGGGAGGGACATAGCAGATTTGAGATCTGCTGATGGATTTTTATTGAATAGTTTGCAAGCACAGTTATTTATAAGACACTATTCAAATACCAACGTATTTTACTCACTAACAAATTTAAAATATGTTACTATTAAATATTTTGTCAACGATTATTTCCTTTTAAAAAATGAACAGTTATCAAAATAAGTCACCAAAATGCAGAACTCCAGCCTTGTCTACAGACCTGTGCAGCCTCCTTCTTGGAAGTTGAAATAGCCCCGGGCACAACGGTCACATTTCTTCCCTGCAACACCAGGCTGGCACCAACACTGTCCATTCTCTTCACAGTCAAATGATTTAGACCCAAAAGAATTGCAGTTGCAGGGAACACACCCCCTGGCCGATTGTAGGCCAAATGTTTCAGGCTGACATAGAAAAGGAAAAAGAAAAATGAAATTTCAGTTGATTAACTCACAATGAAACAATATACACAATAGCAAGGGATCAGGCAGAAAAAAAGAGAACCTATAGGTTACTAGGGTTCCTCAATGATGTCATGATGACTGGACTGTCATTTAATTGAGTGGGTACTTTCAATGATAACCAAAGGGCAAGTTCAGCTACTTTGAAGGAACATCAAAATAAATAGCAGAATTAGGCACTATCTTTTGCCTGTTGTATTTCCATCAGCCTTGCCCTATACTTCTCAAGGTTTTAGAAGCAGTATGAAGTAAGCTATGGGTTGTATTTCTGGTTTTAACTTAAAATGTTATTCACTTTATTCCTAATATTCTGAATTGATTACTTTCAGATCTTATGTATTTCTAATAAAAATGCTTTAAACATGATTGACCAGAAGTTCAAATTTAAAATAGTATTTATCAAATAGTATGTGATCTACTTTTTTGTCATGGATCCGTAAATACTTCTAGTCATCAATACAGTATGCACATTATAAATGTAATTTACAGGTTATGCCTACAGTGACCAAATAATTGGTTTGGCAAATATCTAGTTTCTTGGATTTTATTCTAATAATTAAAACTGATGTGTGAGAACACATATTAAAGTGCTCTATTAGAAAAGTAAAGAGAAATCTTTATTCTGTAATGACTTAGATGACCATCACTCATCTCTGGCCACACTTGCTTCAGGCGACTTTCTTGAAATGCATGTTATCAGGCTTAGAGTGGCTGCATGGGAAAATGCAGATGGACTGAAAAATCCCTTCTACGAGAAAAAAGAAAAGCATATATC